CCAGACCAAATAACCCAACTCCCGACCCGACACTAGCGACGACTTGACCCAAAATTTCACGACATTTCTGAGCATGATTGCTGATGGGACCAACTGGGTTTTGTTCCTCTAGACGGCGTGCACCTACCCCTAGGATCAGATCCATCATCAGACCACCACTTGTGACGAATCGATGTCGTGAAGTTGTAGCACTGCCGCCCGTTCTTTGGAGGTGCTTTCTGGCAGTTTCCCGACGTCATCTCAAGTCGACCATGGTATAAAAGCTACTTTTCTCATTGTGCTCTTCATTTTGGGCGCTTAGGCGGTTGGTTTCGATGATTTGGCGGATTGGATTGAATCCCTAATTTCCAAAACTGATATGAATGGATCGAATGATGGATTTGCTTGTTAGAATCTAATCAAATCAAATCAAATCCAATCTAGTTAGTGTTATGCTTCTTTTGCTTGAGTGAGTATTTGTAATTGTAAAAGTATGACATTTTACGTCATTTGATGGGGTTATGTTTAAATATATTATAAAATCAAAAATAATTTTTTTTCTAGCATTTCATTTATATTATAAATTTACGTCTATTAATATGTCTTATTAGATTAAATCTAACAATAAATGTTTCATATTTCATTCTTGTCTTTTTTCATTATCAAAACCGATCATCCAATTAATGATTGGATTGGATTTAAAACTCTAAGGGATTCTTAGATCTAGGTCCAAAACGATTAGCTGTTATTGGGTCTAGTTCTCGTGTTTTTGGTTTTAGATGTAGGTCCTTTGACATTTATTACTTTTTTGTTGTGTCGATTTTACCCTTTAAAGTAAATAAGGAAAACACATTGAAAATCTAAATTTAATTCATTATTTCCTTGAAATTGAATTCCAAATTTTGAATTTTGAATTTTTTTTCCTTGATAATATTCCTAATATATAGATAAAATACAATTTAATCAATAAAAAGTAAAGACTCACATATTATACCAATCGATTAGACAAGCACCCACATTAAATTATGTACCTGACATACAGGTAAATAATGTTAATATATACAGGTATATATGTACCTGCCTTATAGATAGGTA